AAAAAAAGGAAAAACAAACCAACAACCAATAAGTAAACCAATCGAGAACAAAGAAAATTGGAACAGGAGAAGGAAACGGAGAACCAAATCATGGCAGCTGTGCATTTGGTATATACTGTTTTTCTTCGCGCGGTGTCCTGAGAGCCATGCAGACACAAGACAAAAAAATAGTCCACATATATACGCTTTGGTCAATGATCCAATGAAGTTCAGCCGTCTACCTATATAGATGCATATAATAGAAACCTGGATTTCTTCAATGTGTTTTCATTTCTTCCATTTGATCTATTTTATTTCCTAGATTTCAAGCATTTGGGCGGCGACGGCGATGGCCAAACCTCCTGAGAGTTTGGTTGAGCACTTTACATGGGCTCGCCACGGTCTAGCATGGTGCCAAGAGAATGCAAAATCCAAGTTGCTCTTGGAATGCATGGATTTGACGGTGAGTAGCTGGTTCAGCGGCATTGGCTCTGCAGAGGTTGCGCTTTCGATGATCAGTGAAGCTCGGAAGGGGATCGGGGGTACAGGATCCGCCTTTCAGGCTGCTTATCAATTTGAAATCAACTCGCGAGCTAGGGCCATTAGTGCAATGAATTTGCCATATTGCACCTGCCAGCATGTGGACATCTTGCGGCTGTTGAGTGCTGAGAATAGGAATGAGCTAGCGAAGATCGATCGTGACATGACGGACAGAGAAGGGCCGACTTGGGATTGTCTGCTGAATGCCAAGCTGGACGACGCCGGACTATGCTCGCGACATCTTATGAGGTTTGGGGGTCAAACAGAGACAGTCCACTGCTTCAGTCCCAAAACCGTTGGATATTTTTGATTTCTTCCATTTGACACCACTGCGTGTTTGTATTTATGGCCGCCAGACCTGATGTAGGTGCAAGATTCCATCAACAATGATGGACATTTCGGGGTCCATGTGCGTGCATTACAGCTCCATGGGCAACTCCGAGAAAGAGAATGGCATCTCGAACAAACTTTTCCTCATATGGCTAAAGCATCACGGCTTGAAGAGGACTCCGCTCCTGCTGCATGAAAACGTGCAGAGCTTCCCCCTGGACTACTTGAAGGAGAGAGCAAGTCACTATGGGTATACTCACATTGCCCGAATTGAGACCAGTGGATCTGATGTCAACCTGAATGCTGTATCACGGAAGCGCGCGAGCCTTGGCTTTGCTTTTGAACTAATATATATATATAGTTTGTTTTTGGTCAGGAGGTGCTTGTGGAGCCAGTTCAAATGGAAGATAAGAGAAAACAGCTGTTTGCCCATTGAGGTATGACATCTTGGTACTTCCCGGATATTTCACGCAGGTCGATGACCCTGCAGCGGTTTACAGAGCTTTGTCGCAGCACTTGCGAAGCAAATTGCCTGGTGTGGGAATGAACGATGTAGTTTGGGTGGAAGATCCACACACTCTGCGGCAAGAGCTCAGATCTGCTGCCAATTCCAATTGCGGCCTGTCCTCCAGTGAGCTGGAGAAACTCCCTTTGGATGATTGGCGTCCAGCCTTGAGCAAGGACGAACAGGACAACTACAAGTGCTACCTTGCCAAGCTGGACATGGAAGGCCCTGCCTGCGACCGCCCTCTCCGGGCAGTGTGCGTCCAACAAAACCCAGACGAGCGGTTTATGGCCGGGAACGAACACTGCCTCCCGACATTCACGAAATCTTCCACAACGCGGGTCATGCTAACATCAAAAGACCGATGGCTCTGTGGCGTTGAGAAGATGGCTCTTCATGGGTTTCCAGTTGATCCCGCAACTTAACTGCCCATCATAATCAAGGCTTTGATTCTTTCAACCACCTCCAAATTGCAGTTCGGGAATATGGCTGGGGCAGGGCTGGCCAGGTTGGGGTGGATTATTGAATATTGAAGATGGATCCCAAGAAGGGAAGCCGCCGCGTTGTAGAACACGTCTACTCAAACTGTACAGGTTGAGCCTTTTTGAATTGAACAATTTCTTACATTGAAATGTGAACTTGAACTACATATTTCTTCCAATTGAAAACTCGGTGAGGCCCTAGCTGAAGCCAGTGGCCTGCCGCTTTTGAGCGTTCAGGGACACGCCGGCCTACACCAATGCTGTGGGAATGGGATGATTGTTGCCAACGTTGGATTGGTAATAGTGTCAGCGCTGGCATCACTTTCTCCCGAAAAGAAATTTCAGGCTCACTGTCAGTTGCAATCTTTTTTTGCAGAAAACACATGCCCACCAGAAAAGTGCAGATATATACATAGGTTGCTTGTATGTGAGCCTATGTGAGGCACTAAATAGCTGTTATTATGTTATAAAATATAGATATAGATATGTGGCTGCAGGATGCTTTGGCAGAGTCTCACAAAGAGTGCGAAACGCTTGGTTTGCCAGAGACTTTGAAGTTCCATGCTGGTTGGCAGAGATGGCGTCTGGATATCGGAGGCCAATCTCATACGTTCGTATCCAAGGAGGACGCTTTGGAGGCGCACAGGGTGGTCACCAACGCTCGTCAAGGTTTCAACACCAAGACCGTGAAGGATTTGAACGTGATTTTGACCAACGCTGGTGTCAAAGCGGAGAGGACTAAGCCAAAGGCGATCGAAGCAGTTGTCCGGCACTCCTTCCGAACCTCTGGCATTCCATGCCATTGTTGTTCAGCCAAGGTGCCTCATTTGGTCGCTTTTGGTTTTGGAGGGGCGCTTTCTTGTCGAGCTTTTCTGTTGGCGCGGAAGGGGGCCGAGTTTTTTCCACGGTGGACAATTTGCAAAACATGCTCATTTCTTCCATTTGATGCGGGGGCCGGGTGGCCTTCCCTTCAATCAAAGCTCCGGGCCCGGTTTCCAGGAAAATGCAAAGCCTGCAGAAAAGAAGCCAAACGCAAAGGCCGACAAGGAGTTGGTT